CCCCCACCCCCCCCCCCCCCCCCCCTCCCCCCAATAATACACCCAAACTATGTTGGCCTCGCCAGCGGACCCGTGAGGTGACGGTTACCCTTTTTGAGTCACCGAGGAAGAGACCAGAGACAGGCAACGGGAGATCAAATACAGAAGACATAGGTTGCCCAACAGCACCCAGCATCGCGCCCGTGGCAGCAGCAAGAAAAAGGGCGCTTGTGCCTGCTGGGACTTCGATTATCAGGAGAGAGCGACGTACCAAGGAATTACTCCGCTACACAACATGAAGTTCGCTCAGGAATTCAAGAAATCACTTCAGCAGGAAGGTGAGTCAGATTTGTCTCCTCGTGTGTTGTCTGTTCACCGGCAGCCGAATGATGAAGACTCCTTCCCCTCCCCCCTCCATTTGCGCTCGCCGTTGCTGACCGCTCCACCATTTGGGAGGGGGTGAAAACAGGCTTTCCTCAGAAATGGGTAGAATCAGCTATCCCCTATGGCCAGTTGAAGAAATGTCTCAAGAAGGTCACTAGAGAGCTGGACGAGCTTGGCCTGGATAAAGATACCCTGGCCCAGCTGGCTGCCGACCAATCTGCCGCGACAGGTCCATTCAGTGGCCACCATCACGGTTGGAAATACGACCTCAACGGGGAACCAAGCAAGTCCAACCACCTGCGCCCCAAGCTGACTGTCTTTGTTCATCTGCGCAATGGCGTCGCTGTTGATGCCACCCTTTCGCCCTCAACCAGGCAGTTCCTCAGCAGAATCGCCTCCGACAGGAGGTCCAGCATAGCATCCGCGGCTGGTATCCCCGACGGCCAGGAGGCCACAAGCACCGCCACAGCGCCAGCATCGATCCCAGATGCTTCTAGCGCCGACGAGGGTTCCGAGCCCGAGGACGCCGCCCAGTCCCTGCTGGACTTGCAACCTGCCACCAAGGCGCCCCTGATGCTGCGCAAGGTCGAGGTGCCGCTGGTGTTTGATACCGAGTTCTTTGATATCTTACAAACGGATGTCTCCAACCTGGACATTCTACAGGGACAAGAGCAGGAGAAGCTCAAGGGTGAGATCGTGGCGCTCGGACAAGAGATTACAAAAGTCTCGAAGCCTTCGAACGGAAAACGAGCAAAGGATGACTTGGCGAAATGGCGCGACATTTTTGAGCTGTACCTTGATGCGCGCATCTTCTTTTCGAATCGCGAGACCGACCATGGTGCGAGAAGCAGCGCCCAGGCGACCAAGCAGCTGCAGTGGTTTCAGGAGCAGGTCTTGCAACGCAAACTTGTTCAAGGGCTCAAGTTGCAGCCCAGTCGCGAGGCGTTTAACAAGTTTCTAAACGTCAATGCCATGCTGCTGCAAAACCTCAAATTCCAAGAGATCAACCAGCTTGCCATCACAAAGATCCTCAAGAGTAAGTGCTTCCTCGCTCTTCTTCATGGCTGATTGCTGCTGCTGCCGCCACCACCTGCCTTTCGGTAGACCCTTGGGACAATCTATACGTTTTCGATTATACTCCTTGTAGGCATGGCTGCTGACTGTTCTATTTCTCTACTCAAAGAATTTGATAAGAGAACGTCCTTGGGTGTCGCCAAGACCTTTCCCGTGGCCGTCCACTCTGAGAAGCTGCTTGCCGGCAGTGTGGCCAAGGACTTGTGCGCACAGGTTTCCAGCGAAATCATTTCCATGGTACCGCAACTTGACGACTACCTGTGTCCCATTTGCTTCGCCATTGCATATTGGCCCATTCGACTAAAGTGCGACCACATCTTTTGCAGTCGGTGTCTGGTCAAGATGCAGCGAAAAGGGGAGAGATTCTGTCCGCTCTGCAGGGGCGATGTCATCATGGCGGCCGGTATGGAGAATTTTGACGCCGCCCACGCCGCTTTCCTCAAGGAGTACTTTCCACGCGAGGTCAAGGAGAAAATCAAAGCAAACGAACTTGAGCGCGGCAAGGAGATATTCGGGCCCGACTATACCGACCGGCCATGCTCGGTCATGTAGCTGCCACGAGCAACTTCAACTGGACTTGACGACGGGATTCGTGATGGATGGGGGAGGAGGAACGGGCCAGCAATGGCGGATCACGCAATGGCTGGGCCCTTTGCCCATCGCAGGCGCAAAGCAGGCCGATAATCTGTGTAATGATACCCCTTTCCATACTCAAGATATAGATGAGAATAATATGTGCCTTGTTTTATTTATTCACATGCGCCACAATAGTTTCGCTTCACAACGCTGACATGTTTATCTGAAAAAACAGTTTTCCCCTCTTCTTCTCCTCCTCCTCCTCCTCCTCCCTTCTCTAGACTGCACACTTTTATCCCACACTACCACGAGCACGGGACACTTTAGTTTCATTCACTCGGTACGCTTTCAGATGCTTCCAGGGCCTTGGAGAAAACAGCCATGAGTTCTTCTGTCTGTTCCAAGCCAAAGCTAAACCGTAGCAGATATGGATCAACGCCAAACCCTCTGGCCCAATCGAGTTCCTGGTAGTGCGCCAGAATCACATAGGGCGAGGACAGTGTGAAATTTGTACCCAAGCTCGGTCCCTTGGCGGTCTCGAGGGCATCAAAAACCACTTCGGCATGAGCCTTGCTCTTGAAGGAGCAAGAGACCAGACCACCATAGCCTCCATTCGAGGTCTTGACTGCCTCAAAGTTGGGACGACTATCGTTGTACTTGGGGTAGTACACCTGAGTGACACTGGGGTGTGCTAGGAGAATCTCGCAAACGGCCTCGGCATTGGCATTCACCCGGTCAATTCTCGATATGAAGTCGCGACTGTTTCTCTCGAGAAAGATGACATCCTCGGCCCAGTAGGTGTCCTCAAACTCACGAGTCAAGGTCTCTTTCAGTGGAGTGTAGTACCGGCTGTTGGGGTTGAGAACCAAGCTGCCGCCCATGACATTGCTGTCTCCCGAGAAGATCTTGGTTAGACTGCTGACGACCATGTCGGCAAACGGGAGCACATTCACATTGTGAAATGTGCCAATGGTATCATCAACCACGACAGCAAAGTCATAGGTATCTGCCAGCTGATGGATTCGCGCCAAATCAGGGCAAGTCAGCAGTGGGTTACCAGGGAATTCGCAGAAGAGGGCTAGGAATCTCTCGCCACTCTTGAGGCGTTGTTCAAGATCATCCAGATCAACGGACGAGGACCGTCCGTAAAAGACACATCCGGGGCCGAATTTCTCAAGAATTTTGAGCGTATCAACGTACGGGAAACCAAAGTTGACACTCTTGCGCGGTTCGCGTGCCCTGAGCAACATCTGATGCGCCGTGAAGATGGCATTCATGCCGCACGGGAACAGGTACACGTCGTCCTCTCTGAAATTGGTCACACCTCGGGCATCGCTTTGCATCGAGGGAAGTGCGGCCGTCAGGTCTATTGTCTCCGTCAGAGTGCCGGCAATGCGGCGCCGGATCGCCGACTTTGCATTAGCCACAAGAGAGACGGACAGGTTCCGGCCAAAGCGCTCTTCGAGGAATCGGGAGCTCTCCAGTGCCTCGGTAGTATCTTCGGCCGCGCCGTTTACGCCATTCTTGGCCTGTCCCTTTAGGCTGGCGTGGCCGTTGGTAGCATCAATGGATGAGGGGCGCTGCTGATAACGGCGAGGGCCACGGCACTTTTGGTACGAGTCACGGGGAGACTTGGCCGTCTCCAAGACGAGCAGACCGTCATTCAGCAAGCCGTGGCAGAACTCGGCCCGGCGGCTCGAGACACCGTCGCCGGAATGCTGCCAATACTGCTTGGCAACTGAGAAGGCCTCTTGCTTATAGAGGACGGCCGAGACAGCTGGCCGGACGGTCTGGAGCGCCTCGGAATTCTCCTTGGAGGTGTCGAGGACCAAGTGCAAGACTTCAAGGTCGCCTGTGAGCTCTGCCGGAGCCTTGTCCCGGATGAACTGAAGACACCTCTGCGCCGTCTTCTTGGTGGGAAAGAGCATGGCAAGCTGTCCCGATTTGCCGAATTTGGAGACAATGTCCTCGGCAAACGCCTGGATACTCTTGTGTATGAAGAATCTGGATAGGTGGGGGTCAGAATGTCTTCTCCCTGCCCCCCTCTCACTTTCTTTGGGACCTGGCGAAATGAATGATCTCTCCTCACCTGGGATATCCCGTGACCATCTTGTCAACGACCCACGATTCGCCCTCCTCATATCCTACGTTTGCCTTCCATGTTGGCAGTGAGACACTAACAGCCTGGCATTGGTCAGTTGGTTCATGTTTCTGGTTTGCCAAAGATACTAAAGGGTTATTGAGGGTTTGCTGCTCACGTGTGCCGTGTCGGGGGGGATGGACTCTCCAAGATCAAAGTTTGGCATCTTGGCTGGATATTTTTGCCGCTGACTATGTGTGATCTTGTAGTCTAGGCAGAGATGAGGTAGCCGCCAGTATATGTCTCTATATGCTTGCAGTAGTAATGATGATAGTAGTAGGTTTCACTCTGCAGTTGGCCACTCCCAGGACAGGTACCCGTACGTTACAGCAACCAACAACGTATGTAGTACTCTCGTCTCTCTCTTGGGTGGGTGAACAGTCACGAATGAATGCACAGATGTTTAACGAGCGACCGGAGCTAAGAGATTCTGTTTTCTCTTGATTGGTCTGATTAGCAATTGGAATAAAATGGGCAGAGGTGCGTTTGGTCGGGGAAAAGGGTCCAATGACTCCAGTCCCGCCAGCAAATTCGTTGAAGGAGCTAATGTGACTGAGGTGCTATCGAGTCGCCGGGATCGGACCTGGGGAAAATTTTTTTTTTTTTCCTAAAAAAAAATCATCCGTCCTTCTCCAAGTTTAGCGGCGTCCGTCTGAAAACCCCGCCGCCCATGATGTCAACGGCCGCTGCAGGTGTCAAAACAGACTGCAAGTCTCATCATCAACTGGCATAACTACATGATAGCATCTGGAAATTAAACAACATTTAGGCCGTGAGCATTCCTGTTAAGTTAGGTAATACGCCAGTTATGAATAGCTCGTTGTCTTGTCATTGTTGTTGGAGCATAATGCCTTCATTGGAGTGATGAATGGGCACGTTGCATAGGTATCAAGGAAAGCTTGCCAAAACACCTTGGAGGACCCGCATACTACATACTATAGACGCCATATCGACTGCAATATGCAACTGTGCGGTACACTAATCCCGTGTTGTAGATATACACATACTCCATATCTACGCAGTGCCAGGTACATATCTTGCTTGCGATAGCGTAACATGGAATTTGATCTGTTCCTCTGGCTCCGCACTACCTTCTCGCCAATATATATCAGACATCAAGACAGCACTTGAAGTCCACCTCTGGATTGAATCCTGCGAGTGAACCATGAAGGACTTTAAGATTGACAGCGTCATTCTCCCAGCACGTGGCAGCAACGTCCGTTGGGATATTGTGGTCAAGAATGACGTGGTCCAAAGGATAGATGCATCATCGACTCGACAGGAGAAGGGCAGCCCAGAAGACCCTATCACGATGCTACTCCCAGCGCTGTGCCACCCGCATGTACACCTCGACAAGCCTTATATACTGACCTGCAACCATGGCCCAAAGGATCAACACCCAGACTACTCCGACCTTGCGCCAGCCTCTGGTGCGTTTACAGAGGCCCTTGCAAATACGGCCGAGGCCAAGAAACGATACACGGAAGAGGACCTCTACTTGCGCGGCGCTCAATTGCTGGCGACTAGTTATAGGCAGGGTGTCACGGCCCTGCGAGCCTTTGTAGAGATCGACCATGTCACGGGCAACAAGGCGTTGAAGTCGGCCGTCAAGCTCAAGAAGGACTTTTCTCACCTGATGGAGATGCAAATTTGTGCCTTTGCGCAAGATCCAATCTTCTCGACTGAATTTGGACAAGAAAACCGAGTGTACATGGAATCTGCCCTGACAGAGTATGCTGATGCCATTGATGCCCTGGGAACGACACCATATGTTGAAAAGTCTCGGGAGGCTGCCGTGCGCAACATTGAATGGGCCATACATATGACACTGGCAAACAATCTACATCTTGACTTTCATCTCGACTACAACCTCGACGCCACTTCTAGCTCGTCTCCGCTAACTTACACGGTGGTTGACATGCTGCAGCAGAATCAATGGGTTGACCGGGCAGATGCGTCAAAGACGATTGTCCTCGGTCACTGTACACAGCTGAGTAGTCTAGCGGCCTCGGAGCTCCATGACATGGCAAGAAGGATCAGTGAGAGCATGCTGCCGATTTATTTTGTTGGTCTCCCGACCAGTGATCTATTCATGATGGGCAGACCAGGACAGTCTGCCGAGGGCTCAAGCAGGCCGCACACAAGGCCCCGGGGAACGCTGCAGGTGCCCTCGCTGATTCGTGATTATGGGTTGTCGGCCTGTCTGAGCGTTAACAATGTCGGCAATGCATTTACGCCATATGGCACCGGAGATCCGCTGCAGCTGGCGTCGCTCGGTGTTGGCATATATCAGTCGGGCACGCCAGAGGATGCGAAGATACTCTATTCATGCGTGAGCTGGGGGGCTCGGAGGGCCATCGGGCTCGAGATTGGGGCTGCCGTGGAGGCCGGAGATATGGCGGAAGGCGATCACTGGCGGCCAATGCTGTTGGTCAAGAGTGAGGGAGAAATGAGACTGCCAGACCAGGCCGGTGGCTGCAGTCTGGTAGTAAAGGCACGACCCAGGCTGGACTTCAAGGACGTCGTCTGGGACCCGCCCGACATGCAGCTCCGTTCGATCGTTGGGGTGACTGACCGAGATGGTGAACGTAGTGGGTAGTACACAGCAGTAGCATTCAGTTACTTTGTAGAGTCTTTGGTTGATTCTTTTTTTTTTTGGGGGGGGGGGGGGGGTACCAGACTAGTAGTACACTATAGATGCCACGACAGACATGTGCAGCGTGCAGATCGAGGCATAATACATGGGCAGATGATTGGATGACAAGCAATCTGAGCATAGTGACTGGGTGGAGCAGAGGGGTGATTTTTCTTCTTTCTTTCTTAAATGCTTTCCCTTCCCTTCCACTTTCCACTCAATGACTGGCTGGTACAAACTGATGATTGCCTGGGCTGTAGAAAGTAGACAAGGCCGTTGCAACAGTATTCATGTGTAAAGTGTGTCGCTGAAAACTTGTGCGAAGGGGAGGAGGTAAAATCAAACCGGCGGAATCCTGGAATGTGTAGAATTGGGAAAGCTTCCATGTTCTTTCAAGGAAAGGCCTCGCGGCGTTATCGGCTTATTCATGAATCGGCCGCGAAGGATGTGCATACACGTCCGAGCCGCTGTCCGGTGCCGAGACTGAGAGATCTGGTCAGACCGATCCTACCATCAGAAAACTCCGTCCGTGAAACCGAGCGCCGAGTATCAAGGGCAAAGTACAACAAGAGACTCTGCCATTCCAAGGTTGGCTTATTATATTTCCTCAAGTTGGGAACTCGGCATCCAACCAAGGAACCAACCAACCGATAGATTGATCCGAGGGTGTGTGGACATGCATATTACACAAGCATATCTGATGCGTGTACAATAAGAGAAGGGTTGATTGCCAACAGTCGCGAGTCGTGATGGATAACAACCCGAGTGATTGAAGAGGTCTAAAGATTGGAACTTAAACCCGTTTTACCAGCACTGACTGAGGTGTGTTACGAGGTACATTGACCGTGTGTGACTCGTTGGACTGCCGCTTGCATAGGTGGACTTCGAGTTTGTGCATTAGACACAAATCTGAGTGCCTCTAACATGGTCTAACCAACGGTAGTTGACCAGCTCACCATCGGTACTTGTCTGTGCGACCCTGGTCGTGTACCTGGGCATGATGAGGAATCTGAGCAGAAAGAAAAAGAAAAAAGAGCGGATCTGGGTGCGGATCAGATTATGGGCGGTTTCGCTTAGTACCTCGGGAACCGGGGTTACAGAGGGGACCGAGGATCTGATAAAACATTTCGAGTGGAGATTTCCCTTTACGCGTAGTTTACAATACGTACAGAGTTGTACACAGTAGTGTAGGTGCACGAGACGAGCATCCGGGACGGAGAGAGGCATAAAAGAGATCAGAATATTCGTAAGGGAAAAAAAAAAAAAAAAAAAAAAAGAAACTCCCCAAGAGACTCGGTATATGTGATTGTTTGGAGAGCAATGCTACTCGGAGGAATGCCATTCAGAGTTCATATAGTTGCTGCAGGCAGACAAATATTCAGTCAGGCATGTGGAATAAAGTAACAAGCCGGCTCAGCGGGATATATGGTGTTGTTGGTCGATTTGTATGGCTCTGCCAGGTGTTGGGATGGCAGCAAAAACTAACCTAGAGGCTGACTACATTATGTAGGTAGGTAGGTAAGTACATATTAGTAGGGAGGACAAGGTCTCGTCTCCGATCTCTATCCGGTTGCTGACGAGCGTCACGGCGTTGCAAAGGAAAAAAAAAAAAGGGCATTAAGGTAACGAATGTGATAATTAAAGCAGTAATACACAGACATCAACAGAAAACAGAGCAGTCTGTGTGCTTTCGTTTGTGTCTTTAGTACCCCCCCAATTATATCGAAGGCCGTTAAAGACCGGTCAAATTCACTGCTACTATTACACTACTCCTACATACCTACCTCAAGAAAATACATGCATGCAATATAATTAATTGGAAGATTATAAAACATAGCTCATCCAGGAGGGGGAAAAAAAAAGGCGTTTGTTCTTTTTCCAATATAAGTACATAAGACTGATTGTACCTATGCAACACCAACTTTGGGGTTGTTGGCTGATGGATCAAAAGAGAGGGCGAGAAAAGAGAGAGGAGAGAGAGAGAGAGAGAGGAAAGG